AAACACATACCTAGTAGACTACCCACAAATTCAATATCTTATCAAAAACTTCTGATCAATGCAAGCTACCTATTCAGATCAGAACAAAAAATTAAGTAAATAAAATCAACGTAGCTAGTTTTATATACTGGTCTAACCAGGAGTATGCATTGTTATGAAATAAAATCGTATAATAAAAACATTTTGTACATTTGAAATAATGTAAGGATGGCAGTGTGTTTCTTATTACTTGTTTTGTGATTGTTTTTCCCCTTACTGAAAGTTAGTGTATTCTATGAATGTGTTTATTAAAATTTAATATTATGTGTATTGATTTTTTTTTTAACTCCTTCACTTCATACATAGTTTAGGGATTGGCTACCTAAAGACATCGACAGTATAGTTATGGTGGATTTATTATTCTATATTTATTTTAATACTGATGTTTGTTTAAATTAGATTTATATTTAGAAATGTACATAACGTATACTATTAATTATGTATTGGAAAACTCACACCTATTCTCTAATGTTGTAGAAGATTCTCGAGTAAGAATCAAAAATATATATGTGTACTGTTACGACAGTGGAAGTCACATGATGTTGGTAACACGTAATGATCATCTAGAAGATTCGCGAAAAACGCTAGCGAGTTATGACAGCAGAAGTCAAGTGATGCTGGTAACACGTGATGAGTGTCTAGAAGATTCTCGAAGAGGCTACGAGGGTGTGGTATTATCATATATAAGTGCACTAGACAAAAGAGAGAGAGAGTGTAGAACCAAGGACAGCAGTTACGGTTGGTGGGAACCGAGGATAGCAGATACAGAGATCGGAACTATAGTCGCTGACAGGTGGTGAGAGAGATGGACAATTGAGTCAAGCTCGATAGTAAAGTAAGTGAATTGTTGTAAATTATAGCGTGTGTTCAAGTTAAAGTAACTGTGAAAATTAAGTGTATTGCAAAGTTGTATTGAGGAAGAATACACTAGTTTTATTTAAGAAAGGACTTGTATCGCAGAACAATTAACAAATGAACATACAGAGACGTAACAGTACGTAAATGCTAGTGTAGCTTTGTATTGTTACATAATCTGAATTTTCGATAAACTCTCCACACGCCTATAAGTATAACCAACGCAACATGCCAAAATACAGTATCTATCATTGGGTTGCTGTAATTGGTATGCTATAAACTTCATAAGCTATACCTGTGATTAACGCTTATTAATCGGGAACTTCAAATATATTGATGAGGAATGTTTATAAATTTTGAACATTACAAATCTTTCAACTTCAGTGGATTCACATCGAACATTAGTACTTTTATGAAAACACTACCTAATGGTAGGAAAATCAGCGTGTGATCAGTGAATTTCACAGAGCTAGCTAGCTCCCTATTAAGTGAATTGTATCTACATCAACTCGAAATTAACTCGCTCATCGTGAACCCTCGATAAGATTGCAAGGAAGTTCCAGACTAGAAAGAAGACTTTATATTGCTTGTAAGTTTGTAAAACTTTTGTATATAAATCATTGTTTGTAATAACTGTAAATTATATTCTTGTTCACATATTAAAACATATTTGTATTAAAACAGAAACTGTGTGTATCAATCTTGTTGGCAAATATCATAAATTGGATACATATTGGCATTTATTTAACTACTGAATTTAAACTATCATTTAGCTCGGTTTCAGACTATTTGAAATTATAATATGTAACATAGTGTTCAAAGAATTGAGTAATCTACATGTTACAGTCACTTAATGTTCATCTATTATCAGCTGGTAATTCCTGTTTCACTTTGTATTTAATCTTTTAAAGGAACAGCAGATTTCTGTATGAAAGCTAACTTCAAGGGGTAGTGATAACATCGTTTACACTAGATTTATAGGTTTTTAAAATTACTACTACTTATTACGACTAAGCGATGACATCATGCACTGCCCAGAAACACATTGAGTGGATTTAGGTTTAAACTGACATTAGTGATAAAGTATTTGT